ATTAGATACTAATTATAGTGAACAAATTTCACTATTATTAAGTACATGACTAATTATAATACTTAGTACTAACCTATATCGTACTTATTTCTCAACAATATTTATAAAATGTGTTATTAGATTATATTACCTATTTAATCAACCGAAATGTGCTCTTATTGTTTTTAGTACCGTGTTAAATTTCCGGATGAAGTTTGCTGTGTACGTACCAGGCAATTTGGAAGGACCTGCTCCAGTCTTATACCTTTTGGGTGGTATGTCATGTTCTGAACAAACTTTTATACAGAAATCAGGGTTTCAACGATGGGCAGCACATTATGGAATAATCGTAGTGTCACCAGATGTCTGCCCTAGTAAGGATATCTAATTTATTGACTATTGACTATTGTAATAATAAAACATTTATTAAAAATATTGACCTGTATATRTTCAGGGATTACTTTTGGCGTTGAAAAAAACGAAATTGAAGCTAAAGGYTTGTCATTTTATGTAAATGCTGTAAAAAAACCATGGAACCGAAATTACCAAATGTATTCATACATCAATGAAGAGTTACCTAGTATTATTCAGGAGAACTTTAATGTCAACAAAGACAGACAGTCAATCATGGGTCACAGGTACCTATATTTAAAAATCATTTATTATGTTTATAATTATCATAGGCAGAAATATAATATGGTGGATGAGGAAGGGTTCATCATAGAAAAATACTTTAAAATTATATGTTTTTAGTTTTAAATGTATGTAAGGTGGGAAGTTTGAACYCCCTATAAACTTCCCTTGTGTAGGGCCCAGATATCTTTGTATTGTGTATTATAGTAAAAAGGGAAATTAAGCTGTATATTGTTATTAATCATGTAGTTTAAACCAAGAAGATTAAGATAATTAAAGTTTCAACATTAATATGATATGATACCCGCATGTGTTGTCTCCATCTTACATGTGTGTAACATAACAAATTTTATGCTCAGCAGATCACATTTAGCTCCATTAGTTTAAAAATTAGAGTGAATCGATTTCTTACAGAATTTAAAGGAAAGAATATGATTTAAACGACCTCATAAGCTTTTTACTATATTTTAATTTTGAAGCGAGTTTTAAATATTTTAAAATGKAAAATTTTTTCTACAGCTTACAATACTTATTACTCATTTCAAAATTAAAATATGGTAAAAAGCCCATGAATTCATCTAAATAATATTCTTATCTTTAAATTTTATAAGAGGTAAATTCACTCTAAATATATACATTTTATGTGGTGCATACTTATTATTTATCAGTTATTRGTATATCTGTGTCCTGTGGTATTACTGTATTAGTACTCATTATATTTTTAATTCTTAGATTCACTTTTTATTAAATAATTTTCACATATTGCACTATAATAAATAATAATATTTCAGCATGGGAGGTCATGGTGCATTAATTAGTGCACTCAAAAATCCTGGCAAATTTTGTTCAGTCTCAGCTTTTGCTCCAGTTTGCAATCCTTCTAAAACACCAGATATACAATTTATATTAAAGTGTTATTTTGGAGATGATACAAAAACCATGGAGGAATGGGATGCTACTTGCTTAGTAGCTAATTATAAAGGACCAGAGTTAAATATCCTTATACATCAAGTAATGTCAAATAAAATATTACATTAAAAATGTTTTAAATAATTTTTTGAAGCAATTTAAAATCAAAATGAATAACTATGATACATATTGGATACATGTTTTATTTTTATTTTGTAGGGGAATAATGATAAATATAAAGAACAATTAAAATTGGAAAACTTTGAAAGTGCTTGTGAAAAGGCAGGGATTCCAATTTCTATAAATCTAGAAGATGGATATGATCACGGATTTTATTTCATTTCAAGTTTTATAGAACAGCATTTTCATCATCATTCAAAATTTTTGTTTGACTCTTAATATTTGTTGAATTAGTTGTATTTTTAAATAGTATTATACTCGTATAATGAGTGGTGTGTCAAGATGTATATTATGTTACCTAAATAAGCTTACCAAAACTTAATTTTAATTTACATAATTAGAAAATAAATGGACAAATGGTGTACCTATAATAAATAACTATTGASTATTATAGTGTTGTTAAATTTGAATACTTCCAAACTATGTCATTAAGAATTCTCAAAAGTTTTTATGATTGTTTCTTGTCAGTAATTTTTCCTCATTTAGTCATTTCATAGTACTCATAATTTAAAGAATCTTCAGAATACTAGGYATTCTGTAAATTCTAGTAAATTTCCTTTTTTAATCAAAAAAATTTAAATAGAAGAAAATTATAATGAAATTACATAATTGTAAAATCAATAATTTAGAATTTTACTATAAATCATTCACAAGAAATAACATTAAGTTATTGTGTTTGTCATTTTGTTTAATTACTTACAGTTTAAAATGGGTTGATCCATCGATAAAGAAAACAAACAGAAATCATTAAAATAATTAACCCTCTAACCATCWGTACGACAGCGCTCCCGGTGTTATTTGTTTTCCTCATAGAGAAATTAATTGAGGATTCAGGACATAGGTACCTAAATAGAACCACAGAACAATATAGGTAGAACCACGGACTAAGGATATTTTAATCCGTGGGTGGTGGGTAGAACAATATTCGGGAATATTTATCTCTTATCATGATATGATTACAATGAATTAAGATATGATAATATGACGTTCGTGGATTCAACATTTAGATTATAACTATCAACAACCACTGACATATTAATTAAAATTCAAAAACAACACAATATTTAWTAGATAATATTATGCAATGTTGTATGCATAATAATATAGGTACTTAAATATTAAATAGGTTTTTATAAAATATCTGTGCGAACATCAATACCAACGAAAAAAAATAAAATCGCGACGCTTTTATCGATTAGAACGCTAGAACAATATGCGAGGTCTATTAAAATGTTTTAAAATGTTCATGTTCCGGAATGAATATCGGCTGTCCGCGGTCTGTCCGTCATCGGGTAGAACAGTTCACACACTCAAGTTCCAGCAGCGRCTCAATCGACCAAACCAGTACCTGAATTTCCAACGATTGTGTGGATCACATCAGTGGTCCAATAACACGAAGAAGCAATTGAAGGTGGTGTCGGACAACCGTTGTTTCGGCGGACAACAAAAGGTCTACGAACACGAAAGGTTGGTGGTGTGACCGTTATGTATATAAATTAAAATGTTTTTTCCTTTCATAAAAACCACCCTAGATTTTAAAATTTCACCACTACATAATTATATCTAGGTGACAAGGTATTTGTWATTTTATTCATAACATAATATTATAATATACCTTTYTTTTCAAATTTGTTAATAGGTGAAGAAAAATACAAACAGTGAGCCTTGTAATTATGTTAAAAGTGAATCAATAATGAAGAAAACGACAAATAACTGTGAGTTTTTTCATTCCAAATTTGGTGATTTTTCTACTCAACACAACCCATGATGATCATTCTTATGATTTTCATTAACAATGTGTTAGTTAGACAAATCCTTGCCCATAATTGAATTCTGCTAATAGTTAATAGTGATGATTTATGAATAGGTTATAGGTCGCTGTAGACCGATAGAATTAAATTAGGTGTGATTCATATGCACGTGTATATGGTGTTACCCGGTGATGACTACTCTGCGGGTAGTAAAAACGCACACAAATAACAGGGTATTCCGTATTCATGTTCAAATTCTGGTTTATTTCAAGTAGAGCCTAGATTTCAATGCAAAGTGCATCTTTTTTTGGTTGATCMTAGCCAATGTTTTCCAAGTATATAATTCATTTCACATAACAAGTGTTTCAAAGTTAAACATTTTATTTTGCATTTTTTTGCATATTTCAGCTTTTTTTTTTTAATTTTAAGAGCATTTTTAGCATTATTAGGTCATTTTGATGGTTTCTAATGATTATTTGTTCAATATACATTAAAATTAAGTGTTTTTTATTAGTGTATACTTTAGTATCTATGTTTAGAATGAATGATGTTGCCCCAAAACATATGCGTAATGCGTGTCAACATCATCACTTTGATTTTTCTTAGTGTGAAAGGGTTGTCAAGTGTCGTCCTTTGTTTAACGGGGATTCATTTTTAGCCTCTTTCTGATTTATTATCAATGTTACTTTAAAATATAAATAATGTTAGTATTTCTAAGTTGTTTTTTTAGTTTTCTTACTTATTTTATTGAAGATAATGTGCTTTTATTATTTTTAGTGACGTGTTAAATTTCCGTATGAGATTTTCTGTATATATACCAGAAAATTTGAAAAGACCTGCTCCTGTATTATATCATTTGAGTGGTATGTTATGTTCTGAACAAACATTTATACAGAAGTCAGGGTTTCAACGATGGGCAGCACATTATGGAATAGTTGTTGTGTCACCAGATATCTGTCCTAGTAAGAATTGTATATTGATGTCATATTGCTAAGAATATCTAATTTATTTTGTTATATTTAACATTGGTCACAATCATTAACTTGTGTTTTCAGGGGTTACTTTAGGTGTTAAAAACAATGAAATTGAAGATAATGGCCAATCGTATTATGTAAATGCCGTGAAAAAACCGTGGAGTAAGAATTTCCAAATGTATTCATATGTGAACGAAGAGCTACCTAGTATTATTCATCAGAATTTTAATGTCAGTAGAGACAAACAGTCAATCATGGGTCACAGGTATATTTATAAATATTAAATAAATAATTCATGTTTATGTATTGTGTTATTGTGTACTTTAATAAAAAAGGAAATAAGATAACATATTGAATTTATTATTCATATAGCTTTACTGTTAAGTCTTAACTTGTTTGAATCAAGACTATTGAAATTAGTTAGTTTAAACATTACTAATTTCAACATTTGTAATGGACAACTAYACCCATATTCAGTGGCGGTGTGAACTGGGTTAATTTGACACAGCTGCATCACAGAAAGAATGGGGAATAAATTGTGTATAAGTTTATAACAAAATATTATAGTAAATGAAATTTACTTTAGGTCAAATTAATGAAAACAAGGTTGCGATCAACTATGGGACAAACAAGACTTGAAAGTTTAATGCTATTAAGCTGTGAAAAGGATATCAATGTCGACATGAATGAAGTGATTGATATATATGCCCGATCAAGTGAACTCTTTCAAAAGTCATTAATCATTATTATTCAAATAAATGTAAAACTGTAATTAAATATCTTTAATATATGTATTATATTATTATTATTATTTATATATACACATATTATATACCTATATATTTAAAACAAATATTACTGCATCTATTTTTAGTATCTTATATTTTTTTGATATTTTGGTGTTAATATAAAATGTAGGTAGGTGGGTGTTGAAAATTGTTTACTGCGTCATTGAAATAATAAGTTCACGCCGCCACTGTCTATATTTATTAGTCGTCAGTATTCATATTTCAAATTCATAGATTTATATTATTTAATAATTTTGACGTATTGTGCTGCACTAAATAATAATAAATAATAATATTTTAGTATGGGAGGCCATGGTGCATTAATAAGTGCACTTAAAAATCCTGKCAAGTTTCGTTCAGTCTCGGCTTTAGCTCCAGTTTGTAATCCATCTCAATCACCTGATGAACGATTGATATTAAAGTGTTATTTTGGAGATGATAACAAAACAATGGAAAAATGGGATTCTACCTGCTTGGCAGCTGATTATAAAGGACCAGAGTTAAATATTCTCATACATCAAGTAAAGTTAAATAATATGTTGTATTAAAAATGTTATAAGAGGATGTCAGGGTACTATTTGTCTTCATTCTCTGGCCTACACTCAACATAGACAAAACGAATTTATGCAGGATTATTWTTTCTATTTTCTAGGTTTCTTAGAGTAAAATCACCTATTACAGAAAGATGGAGAGTAATATTTTTGAGGGAATGACATATCAATATTATATTTTATTGTTTTTTGATTTTGTATTCGACTTTCAAAATAAACAAAAAAAATGTTGTAAATTGAAATGATGTTTAAATTGTTCTGAGACAATATTAAATAAATCGATATGTCATTCCCTCAAAAATATTATTCTCCATCTTTTTTGTAATGGGTAATTTTACTTTAAGATTACTTAAAAACATAGAAAAAATGATTCCGCGTAAATGTGTTTTGTTTATATTGAGCGTGGGTTAGAGAGAGAAAATAAWTAGTGCACTGACATCCTCTTAATGTATTTTTCAAACAATTTCATTGGCATACTATAATGATGTTTAATTTTAATATTGAATGTATACATGTATATTATATATATATATATTTTTTTTGTAGGGATATGATGATGTATACAAAAATGATTTAAGATTGGAAAGTTTTATAAGCGCTTGTAAAAAAGCAGGGATTGCAGCTTCAATAAATATAGAAGAAGGATATGATCATGGCTTTTATTTTATTTCAACTTTTATAGATCAGCATTATCATCATCATGCTAAATTTTTATGTGACTCATAATTTATCAAATTTGATGTATTTTTAAGTGGTATTTGGTTTATAAGTTGTATGTTACCATAAAATCTTTCAAACTTAATTTTTATTTTTATGATTATATTATGAAAATGCATGGAAAATAGATTATAATAAATGATACTTGGGAAATAGAGCCGTTATTAAATTTGAATGCAACAATAGATTATCATATTTAAAAATACGACTGAGTAGAAATCTAAAAAAACTATTTAAGCTGATATTTTTTCAAAACTATGACCACAAGGGTCAAGCATACCTTTAAATGTTTTTTACAGTTGTCTCATGCCAGTGRTTTTTTCTCACTCTTAATCATAGTAACAGAGACTTAAGAATACTGAACTATGTATTACTTTTTTTAAAAGGTATTACAGTGCTATTATTACTYAAATTGTTCAAAACTAATGTCTTTTAAGATTTTTTAGGTGAGAAGGCTCACTGTAGAGTTAGGCATTTATGGACTACAGCCAGATACGTCTTAGCCTATATTTGTTTAGGATTTTGTTTACTGTATGAACAGTAATTTTGAATAATTTATTACAAAATATTTTAAATTATCTTAGGTTTCTTCAACAATATCGATATTGTGAAGTTTTTTATTTTGATATCAATAATCATAATATTTCGCTTAATTTATTGATCATAATCATATAATCATAGTTAAAGTGATATAATATTAAATAATATTAATATTATATTATGTCTATTGTCTATGATATTGATTAATCAAAAAATATTGATGATTGATGACAATTTTTAATTTTTAATTATATGCCAAAGCACTGTACTATCACTGAACAATTGTGTTAAAAATGATAATTCTATAATATGTTTTAAAAATAATTCGTTTATTACTAGTCATTATTTATTCAATTATATTCATAGAGATATTGATAAATCGGAATATTGATGTATTGATTTCTAAATTTATTTTTCTGTATCGCAATTCAAAATTGTACCCAACAAAATGATATCGTTATTCAAAAATATATTGTTGAAGCAGCCTAATATTTATTCAAGGTATTATTCTTCATGTAAATATCTAATTTTGTCCAAGCTTGAATTTAATATGTCTAAAAAATGTTTTTGTATTTTCTTAATTTTTTTTTGCTTTACTTAATTTTTCAAAATGTACTGAGAATTTTCTACATTGACTTCTTCATACAAGCAATTTCCATCAGATATCACCAAAGTTAAAATTCAAAGCATTCGTTTACTATTTTTGGTGTAGATATACACAATTAATAATAATAATAGTAATAAAAAACATATGGTAAAATTAATACATTTATCTCTTCATTTAAAATCATAAATATAGTTGAATATTTAATATTTTTAACTAATGATTTTATATTGCTTATGTTGGTAGGTGTTTTGTTGTAGGTATTGAAAAAAAGGAGGGTGGTAGGTGTACCTTTTGATGTCAATCTGACATTATATTTTAAACACTTCTGCGCCACTGGTACTATAAATGGGTAATAATGTACATCATCGCATAATTTATATATTATGTAATAAAACTTTATATAATTTTTTAAATCTGATTTAGGTAAAAAATAATAACTCAAAACACAAGTAATGATCTAATTGACAGTATGATACCTTTTGACGAATATACAATCCGATGTATTATTATATTTTGTTTCTTAGATCATTGTGTGGTTATTATTAGTAGATTTTTAATTGTGGGACTTGATACGGTAGGTTGGCATCATGCCAACATGTGTATGTGAGGAAAGGTTTTTATGCTACTAAGAACCCGGATGGTCACCCATCCGGGAACTAATATCAGAGGGTGGTGCGTTTACCCTCAATCACGTTGCGTGACTGATTGAAGCAACCGCATCATGCCAAGCCACAGATACACAATATACTATTATATTAGTATAATATCAAAGAAAATAATTTAGCATTGTTAAAAATTTACGAACTATGTTTTTGTAGTTTGTACCTGTATTGTATTCAAAATTAAAATATGAAGAAATATTGGAGACGGATTTTTTTTTATTGTTGATATAAGATTTGTATAGTATAATTTACAAACAAAAAAAGATCAATAAATTAATATATTATGTATTTATTTATTGTAACATCCACTTAGATGATAAAATCATGAATTTGATTGGCACTGTGAAGGCAGAATACAATGATCTAACAATGCAGAAATCACCGGCTGGCTTTTATCTGTACCTAATTTCTTCGAAAGCCATCCTAAAGCAACACTGAAAACAAGCATTTTTTTAAATTACTATTCACTATATTATACTACAAACACCAATGTAAGATGTAACATATTWTAATACTTATAATATGGTAAATAATATTATTTGATATTGCATCATACAATTTTTATATTTAAATTAATTTTGTTTTCATCACGAAAATATATTATTGAATATAATATAATATTAGTGATGATATTCAACCTAATATTCTGATTAAATATTTATAATAGCAGATTATTTGGTAATTATTAGTTTTAAATATTTCAGAGCTGAGCGATGTATTGATTTTACAATGTTTTATTATTAATTATTTTTGTGTTTGTCTTCATATTTTGGACCAGCAAAATGCTATATTCTTCAATTTKAAGAAATTTCTACTAGACATTTGGTACCTGTCTTGTTGGTTCTTTTGTGATTAGAGTAAGTAAACCCCTTTAGAAACTCGTCCCAATAGTCSGGAAAAATGCATAGTATCATTATAAAATCAATTAGATCACTGCTTCGCTCAAAATTTAGAGTGAAAATATCTTAATATGTTTTTAATCYTAAAGGTTAAAATGATTTTTTATTAGATATTTAAAATATTCTTATCCTTTATTTAAAAATTTCTGTCTTAATTTTTAATATTGAGTTCTTCTCTAAATGTCAACTCACTTCCAAACGGGCAATAATTTTGAACTGAAGTTTATTCCGTTTTTTACTAGTTTTTTGGATCTTTGGCACAATTTTTTGGCTTCTTCACAATTCACAGAGGCCCCGTCCACATTTGCCATCATATTATCAAGCGTCGATACTATGGTCCAAGACAACTCGTTTATTTCCCAAATTACGGGGTTATTGTGTCTTCTGACTCTGGAAACAGTGGCGCCGTGATGTAATGGTGATGAGTTTAGAGTTAGTGTAGCTCCCGATTGTACCTAAAATAATCACGAGAAATTCTATATACATTACGTTTTGCTGTATAATGCAATTTATATTATTTCAATTATTTGGATTTCGTTTACATGAAATGCCTACATATATATACGAATACTTACCGCCATGGCGTCCATGACTAGATTCATGACAAATGTACCGAATCCCAAGAATGCAATAGCTGTTAAAGTTAAATCGTACATATCAGTTGCGGTAAGTCCTCGTATAAATGGTTCTCTATCAGAATTATGTACCTCGTTATCCGATTGACTTAATGTTTCGATGTCTCGGGTCGGAAGATAGTGACCTTTATTAAAATATTAAGTTTATATTTAATTTGAATTATAATTTACGTGGCACATGCACAATATAAATTTATATAAAAAATAAGGAACTATATTAGTTACCTAATCTATTAATACGTTTATATGATGAGCGATGGCGTTAAAAYTGTTTGAAATTCTCAAACTACATATAGTGCGAGCGTTTTAACTTTTAAAACGGCTTACATTTTTTWAACCGTTTTTACAACTTACTTCGTTTATATGATGGTGTTAAAACGGTTTACTATTTTTAATCGTTTTAAAAGTTAAAACACTCGCACTATATAGTCTAAGAATTTAAAACCATTTTAACGCCATCATATTAACGTAGATGTATTTAGAAATGCAGTTATATTATTTAGACAGTAGACACACTATAGACACTTTAAACTAATAATAATATTTTTTTTTTTTTTATATAATATTCTAGAAACCGAAAACTGTAATTGGTTATTGTAGGGGTTGGTACGGTTGGAACGGTTAATACGATTGGTTCAAACATGTGTATGCGTAATAAGGATTTGCCATCAAGAACCCGGGTGGGAACTATAATTGCTTCGGTTGATGCAGWTGATGTAGTCTGGCAGTTCGAACACGTTTGTGATTTGAAACGGGCTCCGAATAGTTGGAATCATATCAAGCCATTCTTTAAAATTAGTTGTGTTATATTTTTCTGATTTTTAATGCAAAAAACACTATTGACTTGAAATAGTGTAAGTGATTGGTTTTGCAAGGCACTAAAAATATATTGTAAAAATACAAAAACATTATCTTAGAAATTGGTTCTTTTCATATCTTTTTAACATTTTAGTTTTTACTATACTTCCATTTCAGAAAAAAGGGCTTTTTTGTTTATGAATATTTATTTGTAAAAAGTTAGTCTATATATCTTATTATTTTATATAAAACAAAATTAGTAATTACATACCTCACTATTTATATTTAATTTTTAATTTTTAGTCTTATATTATTTTAAAATTTTAAATKTTCACTTCTATAATTTCATAGTTAATAAGTGTAAATTATAAAAACAATTCTCTATGATATCTAATAGATATCTACGCTATGTGGCTATGTTTAACATAATATTGTACCTATTCAATGAAAAATGATAAACTATCTAATTATCCACAGTCTTTAATAGGTAAGTAGGTAATTATAATTGGTACGTGTATTAATTATAAATATCTATCTAAACATCATGTGTATACCTATAATTATATATCTATAATAATGGTATGCCGAGCCAGATTGGGTAGTCTCGGCCCTCCGAGAAATATTTTTCAATCGGTCCGTAATTTGCTATAGAAGCCCATATTGGACGAATTTTAGTATTATCTTATAAATAATAATGACCTTATCACGTTTGTTGACTGTATATACTATTAAATAGCTGTCATTAAAATCGTAACGTGGGCATTGCGGAAAATTTCTCATACCAGTCCAAAATTTTAGCGGCMCTTCGAGATTTTCTCGAAAGCTTGATTGGTCTATCCGGGCCTGATGGTATGCATACTTCTTTATTATTTTACTTACTAACCTCAGATTAATTTTTAAACTTTAAATTGTTTAAAATTAGAAATAGTCCTTTGGACCGTATGATGAGGTAGGACCACCACTAATTAATATTTAATACTAAAGAAATTAAGTGTTACTAGGCTACTAATTATTATACTTTACTAAACTACCTATATGTAATGAGTTGTACTATGGACGTATGTATATTTATTTTATTACCATTCATGTTACATATATTATTATGTTTATGTGTTATTTAATAATTGTAATTGAAATGTTAAATTGTTGTGAAGTGTTCCGTCCGTTAATAAAGAATAAATAAATAAAATAAATTTAAAAAAAAAAAGTTAATAAATGTATTAAAACACTGATAGTATTCACCTGTATTTTGAGTTGGTGGAATCAATCCAGGATGTGGATAATTTGATGAATGGTAGTTTGAAGGAGGGAAATAAGAATGACCGTTATTTGACGACAGAGGTGGTATATATGATGATGGAGGTCGTTCATGAGAAGTTGATGGTAGTCCATATGACGACTGCAAYGATGGCACTCYATAATCAGATGGGTATGTAGGTTTTTCATTCGACAATGGTGGGGGTCCATATTGAGTTGGAAGTGATGGTGGTTCATGTGATGATTGTGGGAAAGAGCCGAAAGAGGGTTCGTGTGCTAATGGAGGTAGTTGAGTAGATTGTGTAGGATTGAAATCAGAAGAGCCATGGTGTGGTTGATTTGGATTTTTGTTTTTTTTTACATTATCAATATCATACTCTATRGATTGACTTTGTGCAAAATCCACACTGACTGTATCACTGGGACTAAGAAATGAATCTAAATCAAGTAAAAATTTACATTTTCTTAATAAGTAGGTATAGCGTTAGTCATTGATAAAATATATAAATKATTTATATAATAATAAATTGGTCGATTGTATATTATAATGTGCCCTGTACAGGGCTTTTGTTAAGGGGAGGGGGGGGTCGTGACATTTGTCCGGGGTTTCACGCTTAAAATTTACACAGTTAAATATTTTATACAGGCTATAGGTGACTACGGTTATTGGTTGATTAAGTTTTGTTCAAGGCCTCGTGAAAGGTAGTGCAGGACCTGTACGACGTATACACCTCTTTTTTGTTGGTAGATATCTATTATTTATTTTATTAGAAAGGAGAATAACGTTTAAATTGATATCAACGATTCTRATATATACCAGTTTTTACGTACGTATCTATTTTTTTTAAAACTAAGCAGGATGAATTAATGTTTTAGATAATTAAAAAAAATTATTGAAACCAGTTTTAATTTATTTTACTCATTGAAATAACAAAGCGATAATGATCATTTTGATTATTCAAATTACAACAAACATTACGTTGTTATATTATGATGTTATTTACGGTATTTTACGGTATTTTACCTTCATTTGAGTGATGAACTTTTTTCAAATCTTTTATGTCATCAACGTTTTTCATGGTATCGTAGTCATGTGTTCCTAAGCCTGGAAAATATAAAATGTAGGTACTGCACCTATTACAGTTTTAGAACGGTATGTGTAATTACTTTCATTATTTTTRTTTTTTAGCGTGAATCCAGCTGGTTTTTCATGCATTCTAACGTTTAAATCGTATTCATCATATATTTTTTTCAATAATTTTGTTCTAAAAAGGCATTTTTAAGCAATTATTCTTATACAGTTAAAATTTCTATTCTAAATATTTACTTGATCAGCCATGCATTGTAAGCGGATGAGCCTTGATCAGTTTGCATGACAGACGTTTTACTTGTCACGTGATTGTCTYGTGACATCGATCGGCCTTTAGATGATGTACCGTCCGTAATATCTTGTAATATTTCTYCAACTACATATTGCCGGCAGAGATAATCATTTATTTTTGTTCTAAAAAAAATTTTAATGTACACTCATCGAATTTTATTGATAAATTAATTAAATAAGTACAACGGTTTGAGTCATTTGATTAAATTTAGTCTGTGAAGCTATAGTCAATAAACAATAATTTGATAATTTGATACAATTTGGTTTGAAACCACGTATGCTAAGTAGTATTCTAATTTTACATTAAAGATAATTCAAAGTTAAATTATATATTTTTATTTCAATAATATCGAAGTATAATATTAACTATTATATTTTATGAACAATATTATTATGTATTTATACTTTATTGCATTCTTACGTCATGTTATGTAGGTACCCAGCATTATTATATTCTAATCAGTGGCATATATATAGGGGAAAGTTTGGGAATGAATTTTCAATTTCAATTATTTTTTAAAATAAATATTTAGTTGATTATAAATTTTGTAAGTACCTACTTAATAAAATATTACATTAAAAGAATTTAATTTTATTGCGGTAAAAGTATTTTTATTATAGATTTTAAATAATTTAGTACTTTTTATTAGATAATTTTTTGATGGTTTTTGAGGATTTAAATCCAGACAATAGTAATAACCTACGATTGTTACTGATTTTAAAATAGGATTAAATTTATTTCTTAATTAGTTATTGCAGTTGGTATTAAATTTAAAAAACATACCTGTGGAAATTCATGGTTGTCAAAGCATCATTTAAATCTCCTGCAATCAATATGGTATTGTTACGAATTTCGTCGGATTTTGAATTATTGACTACGTCAGATAAGCCTAATCCTTCAAATACCAAAGCTTCGGGGAATATGTCWTCTGCGTAGCAGTGAGTTGCTAATATGACGTACAGTATAAWCAACATTTTAAAACCGACTGCCTAGTTTGAATGCATCTAAGAACTAAGACTAGGTTTACACTCTACAAGTGTCCAACAACCGGAAAATTAAACTAAACGGGTGAAATAATACGATTATATGTAGTTTTCATAATTATTTAAACTATAAATTATAGAACGCATGTAACTAATAAACTATCTTTTTTTTCAGTTTTTAACCGATGACGCCGCGAAAATCTTTTAAATTACCTATATAGATAATAGTATATAAATGTTAGAATGTCACACATAATGTGGATTGCGAGTATGTATTATACTAGGTAGGTATACGATTAAAGTTTGAAAATTTCATGAAATTTAATTTATTTGAAAACAATCTCTAACACTAATTATTTACTAGTAATGGTTTCCTTTGGTATTATAGGTTATTGATAAATAATCATAATGATATTTGTATTTGAAAAAATTTAAATGTTTCACAAGAAAAATGTCACACTTCTGATACATAGGTACTCGTATGTCCGTATGTGAAATTAATGATTAAGTACATTTAAATATATGTTTTTGATTAATTTGAAAAATATTTATAATAATTCAATTATTATGCCAAAATAGTAGGTATTTGTTTAAATATTATAAAAACATACCTATAAGTTTAATAATTTAAAGTGTTAAACGAATCCAGTCAATTATTCCGATGTAAAGTAGTATATATAAATTGTAATTAACATGTCGTTGTTTAAAAAAAAAAAATCGTCGTATTTGAATTAAATATAAATGTTGAATAATATTTATTTAACAATAATAAATAGTAAATTCATGAAATAMAGTTAAACTTATCTCGACATGTTCAAGTTTAAAATGTTGATGTGTCCAATATTTTAGAGGCGAAAATGATATTTATTTTATGAGTATTGGACTTMTTCAATAAAACTAACATCATAATATAATAWGTAATTTATAGTCATTTTCAAGTTTAATATTTAATATGTAGTGGGTTGTATTTTATGAGTTTTACATTTAGTTAAATTAATATTGTAAAGTACAACTAATAAACAACAATAGGTAGGTATGTGTTATTCAATTTAGATATGGATTTTTAATATACCATTTAAGTAATTATATAAATTTAAATTTATAGTATAGTGTATAAAACGAATAAAAGTTATTATTTTATTGACAATATTATGTGGTTATATTTTAAYGAAGCAAAATWTGTAACGAGTGAAAAAATTAAATATTTTAACATATTTTTATGGGATTCTCTTGGTTTTATAGATCTAAATACACGATTTGCGAAGCGACTATCGAAGCACAAAACGCTAAAAACGATGCAGTGTAGACGACAGCCGAAGTCGTCCCAGATATGCTGACGATTGTTCCCATGCATATGGACAAAATGAATTGAGCCACGAATACCATGGAACTGACCACAGCCACATCTGTACCCAAACCTCTAATTTGATCATCCGACTCTTGACCATAGGCATTGTCAGCAAACTTGAAAAAAAAATTAAAAATTAAAAACCAAACTTGCATCGAGAATCCCAGGTTAGAACACAACATAAAATTAATACTACCGTGTTGGTTGAGTGATAATGGGCTATAAGCAAATACGGCATTGTGAACATCGTCGAGTACATTACACCGGCCGCCCAGGAAAAAAATATCACGCTGAATTTGTGTCGTGTGATGGCCATTAAAAACATACCGGTAGAATAAAACAGCAGACCTCCGACGTACACTCGTTTGGCCCTGCCGGATAAAAAATTATTCTCTCAAAACAATAACATATAAACTCGTTGTAGACACCACGTGGCCGTTTGCTTACCCAAATCGTTTTATGAGTCTTTCAATTACGCTCGAATAACACGCACACGATAACGAGTACATCGCCATGCCGATCGATCCAAATCTCACGCCTTGTTCGTAGAGTATTTTCTTTTYGGTTCCAATTAAAGCCTAAACGACATTTTCAATTATATTTTCTACAGTTTGTGCACACGACCACAGTATTATAAACCACGGGGCGTTGGTGCTATTATATTATCAGTAAACTATTGTTAATTGTAAAGTGTTTTTGACATAAGCGTGYGTAGGTATTCTTGGCAGGGGAGGCAATACTTTAGCTAAGGAGGTCCAGACTCCAATCCCCCCACCCGATTTTCACCAATTGGTAGATATAATATAATATTTTGGTGTAGAGGAAAATTTCGCAGGGGAGGCAACCGCCTCCCCTGCCTCCCCCGTGCGCACGCTTATGGTTTTTGATTTATAATAACTCACTGTGGGATCACCCCCGAAAACAGCTTCGCCAACATAATCTGTGAAGTATAACGAATAGCAAACATGGGCCATCCAACAGAACAAATTTGTTAGACACAATAACTTTATAGATTTGGGCATAACGATTATAGTCTTCAAATAGTGGCCAAACGTTGCATGTTCCTRTAGATTATGTCGTTATGAAAAATAATGTCATGTCATTATCGTAGGTAGGTAATCAATAAAATAAAGGCTTGTGGTTAGTACTCAGTAACAACTACTATAGTAAGCTTACAGGTATAAGTCGTGGTTCGTTATTCTCGATTTCATTTTCATTTTCAACAGCATCTTTTAAAGTACCATATGACTTTGGTGCGTATTCATTGAGTTTATTTTCTACCTCAAAATCCTATAACATTTTTATCATGATTTAATTCAGTAACTTTTCTGGTGTTATTTATTTTTCCAACTTCATCAGCTCCAGTGATCAATATTCTTGTTTGATTTGACCGTAATAATTTTAATGGCATCTCTTTGAAACTGCTTACAGTATAAGTGACACAACCGATAAAAAGAAAAGTGACTAATGTGAACACTGCTCTTACGTGGCCACCCATCAATTCTCCTAAATATGTATGAGGTAATTCAAGGATTAAAGTATTTAGTAAAAAATAAAAAMATGTTTACCAAAYTTCAACGAGTCCCAATCAATTCCGCCTAAAAGATAACCGATACATCCTCCCAGACCAGCCATGATCGTGAACGTACTTAGACCTCTGGCATGATCCTCTATGTATATTTTACAATGTTTAAGTCATTTACGTAAAATCTTTTATTTWTTTTTATCCAAAATTACCTGGTACGCAAATATCTAAAAGATAAGCTCTTGCTGGGCTCTGACAAGCGTCTGCATCGAAATCTAATAGTACTGTACCTAGTACTGTAAAAAATATAGCCCAGAAATTGTTTCCTGGTGCTAAATCACCTTCCACCCAATGTCCTAATAATTTTCCATTTGGCACCAATATTAGTCCTATAAAAAATAAGTTTAGATATTAGGTATACGAGAAATGTATTAACTATATATATATGAACCTAAATTATGTAACTTACCTATGAATACTCCGCAAGCTAACATTATTAGAAATGGTCTGCGTCGTCCCAACGGAAGAGTACACCTATCACTTAAAGATCCTAATATAGGCGTGACGAAAAATCCAATGCAAGGAGATACAGCCCATACAAGAGTCATATGTTGATGGTCGACTCCAATATTCAAAAGTGTTGGAGATACGAAAGCTGTTTCTGCTGCATACGAAAATTCAATTCCCATCACAGCAGCGGATATGCGTACGAGTTCTTTYCTAGTCTTTTTTCTACAACACGTAAAAGATTAAAATCACTTTAACATTATAAATTAAAAATATTGAAATATTCGGTTTGTATCTCCATATTACAATAAATAGTAATTTTTTCATGAATATCAATGAATATTATTMGATTTACCTAAATATGTGAGAATACTGTTCCATATCAACTTCAGGTGGACGTTCATCCTCTTTTTGGTTTTCTGGACGTTCGGCCAAACCTAACRACAGTAAGAGATCCAAAAGGGATCGAGGACGTTTTTCTTTCCATCCTTCCCATTTATCTCTTAACGAATCTCTCCAGGTATGTAAAATACCAATGGGGCCTTGGTACTCGTGAAGTTTTTCCACCATGATAGACCACCAATAGAATTTTTTGTTTGTAATAGAAACCTATTTTAATGAAGAGTAAAAAAAATGATCTTCAGCTATTTTTTATCGAATAAAATGGTTTGACCTAGAAGCATGACAATAGGTCCATCCAAAATTATTTTAATACACATACACATACCCGTGGTTTGGTTAAATCGTTTACATTAACGATTAAATTAAAATATTAAATGTAATATTATATTTAACAAAAATTGTAACATTCTAAAACTAAATTTATTTAACAACTTTACTAATATACAAATTGTATATAAAATTATAGGTATATTTAATATTTTTAAGTTAATTAATTATTATTTAAATTTATATTTAAAATCACAATTGGAAATTTTAAATTGGAATCAACGACAATTACAAAATCAATTACAATCCTAAGTTGGAAACGAATGGGAAAGAGACCGCGAGGAAGACCCAGGAAAAGGTGGCTAGATGTTGTGGAAGAAGAACTTGAAAGATTGGGAGTACAGGAATGGAGGGAAGTAGTTCAGGACCTGGAAAAATGGAGAGATATTGTGATGGCGGCCAAAACTCTTAGAGAGTACTAAGTGCCAGAGAAAAAAAAAATATTAGTAATAACTAATAACTAATAATAATAGTATAATAATCCAACTAAAGTCAGAACACGACAATTATTATAAATAGAAAAAATTTAATATATATTCTAAAGAGTATAGAAAAAATACAGCTATACAAGTAAAAAATATATGTAAATATATGATTCGGAAACTACATTGAAACTACACTAGATTACATGAATTTGTTAAGCATCGATATTTATCGATACTTAAACTATTAATTACGACTTTCAGGGATAATTTGTACGATAGGTTCGTTCAAGGATTGATATAAATCAAAGCAAGTCTTACTGGAACAATTGCAGTTTAGCTCCCCCTCACCATTTTGAATTTTTTTATCGAAACTTA